TCCCATAAAGATCAGAACCACCCCAAAAGAGATTGTGTCCATTAAAGTCTTCCAAGATGAAAAGGGGATACAGCAACTGTACGATAAGAGCATCAAGGTCTGATTGATTATAAGTCTCTCTGGGGAACAGGTAAAGAGAACAAACAATGATGATGCAACCCATGGAGATACGAGTGACTACAGCCTCCAAGGGAGTATCAAGTGACACAGACAAGGTGGGTACGTGCTGGTCAACCAGCAGTGCCACACCTCCATGAACTCATTCATCACACAACCTGTATAAAGAAAACTGCCAAAATGTGACAGTATAAACAGGTTTCAGGATTGTCTCCTGAAAGGAGAGACACACACGGGATGATAAGAATCGATCAAGGCCTTAATGTCATCCAAATGAGAACGAAAACCTCGATAGTTACACTGTATCAAAGTATCCATTTTTATTTAGGAGGAGGAGAACTGGGTGAAGAACCTTTCTGCTTGCAACCACACCATTTTTCTTTAGTAAAAGGAGGTCTGTTGACCTCCATGAAACCTGCCCTGAGGACGTAACCGAATAATGGTCCTGCACCTCGGGGCCAAAGGATATGGACCCAAGTAGTCATTGGAAGCAATGGCAGGGACAAAGACAGGAGTTGGTGTTGACTTGTCAACTGCTGCATGGTGTGAGAAAGACTCTGATGAAGGTGCAGAAAGATCTATCTGCACTCCCACTGAAAAAGTGGAATGTAGTGCAGCAGCATATGTACTTGGTGGAGTAGGGAACAAAAATTTCCGAGCCTCTGAACAAGAAATGTTGTTAACAGTTTTTAAATGCTGTACCTCTCTCTCCTCCACCCATTTAGGGCAAGAACGATAGTAAGATGGGTGGGAACTCCCACAATTGAGGCAGTGAGGGTCCAGTTGACCATCGTAGACGTCATGGTCTTTGTCACCACAACAAGCACACGTCATAGAACCACGGCAAGATGTCTTTGAATAACCGAACTGCTGACACTGGAAACCTCTGAGAGAGTTAAGAATTTATGGCCATATCTTACAGTTCGGATAACCTGTCTTGACAGTAGCAGGTGGACGTGGCAATCTAAACGTTAAAATAATAACATTGATAGGTAGCATAACTCTCCCAACACGGGGTCTGTCAATTTGACCGAGTCACGTGACCTTTTGTACTCGTTTAAAGTTGATATAAATTTAATACTTATAACTCTCTATATATTGGATACATCTTCACGAAATTTGGCAGTCTTTCAGTTAATATTACAATTCTTCCACATATAAAAAGTCATATTTCTTAGTGAAGTATTTCTAATAATATAAAATAAAGTTTTGTCCATGAATATATTGAGTATTTGTTTTGAATTGTCTGTGTGCAAAGTAATTTTCATGTTAAAATTAAAAATACTTTTCGTCATCTCAAAAATCTCAAATTTCCTTTGTGTAATCCCTAAAACCTCCTGAATGCATTTCAAACGTTTTTTTTTCACTAAATCCTCATAGTTTATATGTTATTTTCTCTACCCTATCTCAAAACGAGATCGGTCGATTCGACCGATCTCGTAACCAACAAAGAAAATCGAAATAAATCCAAATTAACCTTCTTTTCTTTCTAGAATGACTTCAAATTGTGACCTGAAACTACATTCGTTTATCCTAAGCAGCTCTAAATTCGTAACATTATACATCTATTTAAAATTAAATTTTATTGTTTTATTGTCCTTTGAATCTGTCTAACTGCTATATCTGCCATTATAAGTTGTAAATCACTCTGGGAACGTGCAGCTCACGTTAGCTATCGAATTACATTACCCACGAGCTGTTCGCGTGTGTGCCTCGTGAACCATTTTAATTATATTATTATTATTACTTATTTTACTTAATCTAGTCTTAAATAACTGAAAAAGATCCGTCCTTTTAATTTTAGTTACTTTTATGATAATAAATA